CCGACCACCTGACACAGATTTCACAATTATGCGATCACGTCTCCTCCCCCAAACGGCCCTTCATAATTCAGAGGCTCAGTTCATCTCCCCGACGGACCGCGTTCAGTTCAAGCAATCTCGCCTAAATAATTGATGCGGGTTTCATGAGAACGGGCTCTGCCCTCATCAGCGCTGGATTGTTAAACTCGTCTGAGTGGGACCGAGTGTCCGGTGTAAGTGGCGAATCAAAGGGACGCCTCTTGTGGCAGATGGGGCCTGACGGGCACGTTTTGCTCTCCAAATGGCCCCAGATTGTCCCCATTCATAATTAAGCAGCCGTTAAAGAGCGCTTCATGAATTATGAAAGAGGATCGGTAAGATCTCCCTCCGGCTGAATGGACGGATCTAATGAAGTTCCTCAGGCACAAACCTCAGCTTATTATGTGTTTATTTGCTCATCTTCCTGCTTAACCAGTGCAATCAAACCAGTGCTATGTGTTCCTCAAGTTACATGAAAACCAAACCTCATGCACGTATAATGAAAGTCTATGAGACAACACACTGCAGGAGGCTTCATTTACTCCTCATACTCGAGCTGATTAATCAAACTCCATCATAAGACGCAAATGAACAAGATTATATAAGATTGTTTGGCTGATTTATATTTCGCATATCTGAGCATATGATTCTGACACAATATTCTGTCAAGGTTTGATTTGTGTCTTCAACAGAGCAAGACATGATGGAGCCAACAAATCATTAGCATGATGGCATTTTTCATTAAGAGGTTGATTAATGCAGTGCTTCATTCACATAGCAGTGGTTTTTAATTTACCATTAAAAGTTTACCTGGGATGCCTAAAAAGTTTGTTTTAATACAAATAATTTAATTTAAATATAATTTATTTGAACAATAATGTAATAATTTAAAATGTACTTATAAAATGGGTTTATTTTTAGATAAAAATAATGTTTATATAAAATGCAGTTCAATAATTTAATTAAAAATAATTAATTATTAAAATAATTATTTTAATAAAAATGCAATAACGTGGGATATTCCTACTTTATTTTTCATAAATAATTATTAAATTATTATTAATACATTATTAGAATGAATAAATGATAATATATAAATGATTAATTATACATTTTACAAATAATTTCATAATTAATAATTTCAAATATTTCTATAGAAAAATACTGTATATAAATTATTGATTTAATTATAATTTATTAATGTAAAATGATTAGAATAGAAAATCATGTCTGTGTGTATATATATATATTATTTTAATAAAAATAATTTATTATAATGTATTTATCAATAAATTATTAATTATTTAAAATACATTTGACAAATAAATTAATTTAAATAATTTAATACTAATTTTAAAAAATGTTTTATATAACAATTGTACAGAGAGAGAGACGCATATTATATATATACACACACACACACAATATACATATACAGTATATGTATATGGCAGATAGCACACAAAGCATTGGTTCTCAGTTGGTGGGCCACAATTTTGTAAATGTGCAGTAAACTACTGGCTGACATGAAATAATCAGAATTAGTGCCCCTCGATGTCTAATGTAAACTTTGATCCTGAAGCAAAACCACATGAGAACTACTGCTATAGAGCAACGAAGTCAAACAAAGTTGGATGGAATGAAGCAGAAGCAGATGGGATGTTTAGATCAATCTCATCTATACGCTTTCCTCTCAGTCAACGCAAAAGCTCAGCACACAGGTGGCCAGAAATATGAAGATGTCAGAGCGATGACAGCGCACTATGTCACAACCTTTCCCTTCATCTCACCGCTTTCATCTCACTTCAGAGTGACGGGCCGACTAGTCTGTCTCCATATCCCTTTTCTCTGTCTGTCACCTCCTTTCAACCTTTGCTGAGCGCTGGGTTTCTCTAATAACTCAAATCTCATCCCTCATATTCAATACCTCTCAAAAAGAAAGGAAGAAATGGTTTATCCTTAATTCCTGTGTGCTGTCAAACGAGACGGTTTCCGTGAAGCAGCTCTTTCGGAGGGTTAAAGTTACATTAGTGGCTCTAATGAGCGTGAGAGACGTGTTCCTGTGGCTGTAAGTGACAGCAGAATGATGAAGCGCTGATGAGTCATTTTTATTAGGCCCAACCGAGAACATGAGAACGGAGCGCACATATCATTTCATTCCAGCCTAACAGCCAATCAGAGCGACCTGAAGAAACCCTGAGGGCTTCCATTAGAGACGCACTCATAATGAGCTCAGAATAACTGACTAAAACTACATATTCAGAAGACAAGTGTGGCGTTTGGACAGGCAAAATTCACCACTGTGAAGCTAGGATGTTCTGGGTGGTTGCTAAGGTGCTCTGGGTGGTTGCTAGGGTGTTGTTAGGGTGTTCTGGGTGGTTTATAGGGTCTTGCATTGCTAAGGTAATCTGGATGGTTGCTAGGGCGTTGCTAGGATGTTCTGGGTGGTTGCTAAGGCGCTCTGGGTGGTTTCTAGGGTGTTGCATTACTAGGGTAATCTGGATGGTTGCTAGGGTGATCTGGATGGTTGCTAGGATGATCTGGGTGGTTTCTAGGGTGTTGCATTGCTAGGGTGATCTGGGTGGTTGCTAGGATGTTCTGGGTGGTTGCTAAGGTGTTCTGGGTGGTTTCTAGGGTGTTGCATTGCTAGGGTAATCTGGATGGTTGCTAGGGCGTTGCTATGATGTTCTGGGTGGTTGCTAAGGCGCTCTGGGTGGTTTCTAGGGTGTTGCATTACTAGGGTAATCTGGATGGTTGCTAGGGTGATCTGGATGGTTGCTAGGATGATCTGGGTGGTTTCTAGGGTGTTGCATTGCTAGGGTGATCTGGGTGGTTGCTAGAATATTCTGGATGGTTGCCAAGGTGCTCTGGGTGGTGTCTAGGGTGTTGCATTGCTAGTGTGATGATCTGGGTGGTTGCTAGGATGTTCTGTGTGGTTGCTAAGGTGTTCTGGGTGGTTTCTAGGGTGTTGCATTGCTAGTGTGATGATCTGGGTGGTTGCTAGGATGTTCTGTGTGGTTGCTAAGGTGTTCTGGGTGGTGTCTAGTGTGTTGCATTGCTAGGGTTATCTGGATGGTTGCTAGAGTGTTGCTAGGATGTTCTGGGTGGTTGCTAAGGCACTCTGGGTGTTTTTTTTTTCGGGCGTTGCGTTACTAGGGTAATCTGGGTGGTTGTTAGGGTGTTGCTAAGATGTTCTGGGTGGTTTCTAGGGCGTTGCTATACTGGGGTGTTCTGGGTAGTTTCTAGGGCGTTGCTAGGGTGCTTTAGGGTGGTTCCTTGGGTGTTCTGGGTGGTTGCTATGGTGTTCTGAGTGGTTTATATGTCTAAGTCAAAATAGTCATATGATTTGAGTTTCTCGCTTATGGTTTGATTTTGGGGTTATGGGATTCTTTAATGTTTTATCGTTCGCTAGGTCAAAATTGTACATCCAACTACTTAGTAACGAGTTACTTTGTAATTCTAAGAGTTAGTGTTTGAACAAACTCCTACCATTAAATATGAGCACTATTAATAGTGAATTATCTAATGAGCAGTACATGCGGACACACAGAGCTCTGTAAGGATATGAGTGAGGTCCATGTCGTGCTGCTCTATGGCGGTCTGAAGCTGCTCTTCCAGGTAATGCAGTCGCTCACTGATGAGTTCACAGTGCTCCGTCAGCTCTGTCGTCTCTCCACACAGATCCTGAGACACAAACACACCCATTAAACCCTGCTGCTCACACACATCTCTAGCTGCTCAAGTGTGGTGCAAATATGCTGATAATGGTTGTTAGTGCACATACGGCATCAAAATGTGTGCATTTTCATCTGGAAGATGTCATTTTTATCGGCAATGTCATTAAAATACATGGATGGAAAACAGACGTAAGTTAGAATGACATTTAACAGATGTTTCACAGCATTTATGATTTTAAATGTGTGTGAATCTGTTCTTTCTGGTTTGTTTATTTGCTAGAGAAAGCTCTGACACAGCTTAAAATTGAGTTTAAGTTTTCCCAAATATAAGAAGTGTTTTAGAGGTGTAGAAAGAAAATCAAGCTGGAACACAGCAAACTGGATTTCAGCAAAATTGGAAACAAAACTCAAACATCCATTGGCCAGTAAGAATTTCAGAGATGATTTGTAAAGTTAACTAAAACTAAATCTATTAAAAAAAAGTTTGCGCAAAATTTAAATAAAACTGAAATAAAATAAAATATAAATAAAATAACTTTTGCAACTAAATGAAATAAAATAAGCAACAAAAACAAAAGAGTGATAAAATAAAAATGATAAAAGCACAGAAAATTAAATAATTAAAAATATTAATAAATAATATATATATATATATATATATATATATATATATATATATATATATATACAAATAATACTAATAATAATGATATTAACATAACATTTTTAATTATAGTTTTTCATTAATATTAGTATTTATAACACCATTAAGGTCCTATATAGCATTTTCAAAGCATGGTTCTATATGGAACCCTATA